CTTAACGAGAATCGAATAAAGTTAAAAGGAAACGGTTATCGTGGCCAAAACATTTTTCACATTAACATTATGAACGGTATTTAAATATTTAATTTACTTTGTTGTTGAGGTTTTTATACGATTATCGTAAATAACAAAAAACACGTCGAGCACTCAAGACTGAAAGATATGCGTTGAGAACTTAACAAATATTTTGATGTTTGTTTCGCTCGCGAATTATAACTTATCGGCTTGTAAACTTGATTTCTTACTTATCACAAGATATTTGTTGTATTGTTAACTACACATAATTAATTGTTTCCTTTGTTTAAGACTTAATTAACTACTTAACTATCTGGTATTTATTTAATTGATGATAATTACATGAAGCGCCTATTATTGGCGTTAGTTTTTCCGCTTATTACGGTGATAATGTTACGGGTTTTTTTAGTGTTTTAGAATTTAACATCCGTTAATGACTCTGTGAACATTAGGAGCGTGGGCACAACACTAAACTAACGCACAACTGTTTAATCTCGTTTTGATTACTATGAGTTTATATAGAGGTGCACACATTACTCAATTCTTTGTGCAACTAAACAGTTGAATTTGCTGCGATACAATTGACAATCGCACAACAGTTGTGGGCTAGTTTAGTCAAAGGTGCGCGGCTCTAAAGCGTTTAGATTTGACATAATTTTGCGCGGGAAATACAGAGTTGATTGTCCTTATAGATGTCAAAACAAAGAGCGCACGTGCGCGAGCGAATAGCCCGCGAATACTATCGCGGTGTCAGTGAACGATGACGTCATACCAGCTGATAGCACATATAGGCCGCGCTTTGTGGGCCATCGAAATCAACAAAACAGTGGAGATGTCTCACCAATTCGCTTCCTGCTGCTGATAGGGAAAGTTTTCGGGTCATTATTATTGTTTAGTATACAATAATCCAAATTTAATTAGAATAATTACTTTACTTCTAACTATAGCTATTTAAATAATAAATAACGCTGTAAATTTAGTCGGCATTTGTTTTTTTAATCAATAAAATATCAAAACACTAGTATTAAAGGGCAAGTAAAGTGCATCGTCTCATAAAAAATACACTTTTTAATATTGCCATTTTGTTTGAAATAAAAAATCCTGTCAAAGATTAAATAAAGGACAAATGAATGTTGATCTTTGTTTATATACCTACGCAATTTGTAACAGCATGTGCTTGAATTACATCTTCGTAGGCAGTTGTTCCGGGATGATGTTTTATTCATGAGAAGATCCGTACAAACTCCATTGTGCGTTATGTTTTAATAAACTATGCGGAACATGTTTTACACATGACGTTTATTTTTATACTGTACACATCGTACATTTATATTGCTCATAGAAATAAATAAATGAATCTTTTTACGTGTATGCCACCGACAAAACGTGTAAATCGCCCTTTTGTCATTTGTCTAGACGGAATACTTATTTAATGTTCCATTATGATCTATAACATAAACGGCTGATTTTAAACACACGTGTTAAAAGTTATTAAGCTTATTGTCTGTAGTTGTCTAAAAATAACAGTTATTTGACAAAGTTATGTTACAGTTAGGGTTTACCAAATCGCTGTAAGTAAAATTTACTAGAAATAAATTAACATTTATTTTGTAATCTTTAAATTGGTCATCGTCCTACATTACAAAACCTAACTAATTGATAAGAACGAACTATGTGTAATATTGCGACATCCAGTACAATAGACAATCGATGTTTTATTTATAAAAGCAAAGCTATACATAAAAGGTTAGAATGGAGGATTAATGTTTTTAATTTTACCCGACTAAATACTAGTAGAATAATACAATGATAATAGTCCATAGACTGATTGTTGATGCGAGGAAAGGTGGAAGGTAGTCTTATACCTTCCAGGTCAGAGCGACAGTACACATCCCTTTGCATGTAACAGCACCTACTTGACAACTACGACCAGTTTGCAACTACTAAAACTGAACTAACTGAAAAAAAAAGAAAAGTAATCTGCGACCACTTACATATTTAAAATGTTTTACGGATTCCGACGTGAAATAAAGGTCAAACTAGGGCTAGGATATATTCTTGAGATTTTTTTTTAATGTCTATCAAAGTTAAGTCACCCAACTTGTGTTAATACATGTGTGTAAAGGGGCCAGCTGAAAACCAGCGCAGAAACGGCCTGCGCCGTCTCTGCATTAGCTGAGTTTGCCACCTTTTGCCACATTTTTTTACTAGCTTTAAGGTTGACTTACGATTTTATTTGTAGTTTGTTTTTGTGGCAAGAAAAGTCATATTTATTTAGTAATTTATATAGTAATAGCTGTTCCCGTGCGACTTCATCCGCATAAAATTATGAAAATTTTATTTTATTGTTTACATGTGTCAAATTGTCAATTGCAAATGTCAAAATGACATGACATGATGACAAAGCATGGCAACCTTGCTTCCTTGATGTTGGCAGCAACTTATGGTCTCTTTCCCACATTAGGGTTTTTATCCAAAATATTTACCCCCTAGGTTTAATGGCGTGAAATATATAGCCTAAAGCGTGACGTAAGTGTAGGGAGTTTTATTAAAAAAAGAGTTATTCAAAAATATGCTGTAATTGGTGACATCGTAGGCAACAAAGAAGTGTGTGTTTATGCTTTACTATATTAGTATAGATTTATTTAAAATTGTCGATTCGACCACGTGATCGGATGACCGTACATAACCGTACCTTACTAGTTAAATTGACCATGCTCTTAAAACATCTAATAATGTTTATTAGACCGAGAATATTGACCGTGTCAAGGTAACTTTGGCGTTAATACTTGTAATAACTTTAATATTCAAACATTTTTAATTTATTAACTTATTAAAACTTTATAATTATAACTTATAACTATATAGTTTATAACACGGCTTAACTCACGTGGGAACTTTCGGTGTAGGAACTACCTAAATAGAAGGACCCAAGACGGGTCTGAAACTGGTACTGACCAATTTCAGACCCGTCGGCACCGGCCTACACCGAAAGTTCCCACGTGAGTTTATCCGTGTTATAAATTAAACACTTCTTTGTAACTACATGTTGTTTATTATAATTTTCAACACATACTCGTATATGCATGTATGAAGTTTTTTCTTATCCATATATTGTAATTTAATAACAATTTAATAATATGTTAGTATCTATCCGTGTGTAACACCCACGTATTAACTGAACTTTGATTATAACTAATATTGTATCATCCTTTGGACTTTGTAATCTGT